CTACTTACTATAAATATAATCTATATATATAAAAAAGTATCGTTTCAAAAGTACCAAAACCAGTCTCTTTTTCCCTTGGTCACGGCATCACGCATGAATGGCTGGACCGATGTCACTAATTCCTTTTTTTTGTATTTTGTTATTATTAGGAGAAGCTTCTTAAGACAGAAAATATCCTGAAAATCCTACGGGAACGGGACGAAACGGGATTGCGCGTACGAAGTCGCGGGCAGAAGCTGGTTTCATTTAAAACTATTCACTCTATCACGTGTTTACTCCGTTTAGATCCTAAAAATCTTAACAAGTATAGGTAGTCTTTTTTTTTAAATATCGTCAAATGACTGCTCCTGCCTGAGTGAGGCGGAGGGGAGTGTCAGACTCTTACTGACTAAAAACCACCCCGTTCCTTCTCCTGCACGTCGAGCCGGAGCCCCGGTTACCCGTTAGGTTCTCCGCGACAAGTATAGGTAGTCCAGTATCTTTCTAAACAATAAGATACAGTAGGACATTTAAGCGAACATAGTAATCAAATCAGACTATAGTAAGTACCTTTATAAGTTAAATCAAGCTTACGGAAGAAACCCTTAACTTAAAAACAGCAAAAAGGATTGCAATACATGAATAAGCAATTGTACTGAACTCAGGAATACGGTATAATGAATATTGTATGGCCCTCTTCAAATTTGAGACTTTTGAGTGTAGAGACAAAGGTTCACTAATAGCATTCTATAGGGATGAAAGCACTAATTGAGTTGCAGAGATCAAAAGATGGCGTCAATATTGGCAATGGCAAGGTTGGCAACTATATTCCGCCATTTGGCTTGTAATGGTTGACCCGAACATAGGCTACAGTTGTTAATTGGCTATATGGGCAGGTACCATTACCGTGCAAATATTATGTGTTAGTTGGCAAATTCACTACATTGACACAAATTATTCTTATATTATTATTTTTGGTCATGTTTCTAGCAAAAAAACTGGTTTTAGTCCAGTTTTTTAGTTTCTTGTTTAGCTCCTCTAAATTTGTCGTCATCGATCGTTTCGTAAATAGGTGAGAGAGAGCGAATATGTTATTGAACGAACTACTTCGTTTTTGCAAGTCCGACACTTCGAATTCTAGACTATTCTAAACCAAGATGCTTTTCAGAAATTGGAACTTTAGAAACACAACAATACCACTCTTACTAAGTAGATAGTTGACAAAAACTTTATAACAAGTTGACAGACAGAAATACTTAATGCTTCAAGTATTAAATAATTTAGATTATTTTGTAAAGAATTTTCATTAAATACAGATGGAAGATTAGATGTTTATTTGCTTCTTTGACATTAAGTTTCCAGACTAGGTTGATATGACCTTTCTGTTGTATCTTTCTAGATAAACATGTAGATATCTCAAGTCTAAGCCAGCAAAGAAAATACCAAACGAATAGAATAATATAAAATACGTTTTTGAAAGAAACGTTGCCGTCTAACCCTTTGTACAACATTTTAATATTAACATAAGTATATGAAAAGAGAAACTCTATTTATTTTCACAGCCACATCGAATTTCATATTAATATAATTATAAGGAATGTCCATCATAATTTGAAAAATAATTTAACAAACTCTGTACTGAAATACTAAACAGAAACACTCGAATTAGGTCATTCGACGGCAAGGTACGTCCTTTTGAAGCTGGTAACAAGATATCAAATTAAATTCCAAATATAACATTTCGTAATTATTTTTCAACAAATTGGATTTTTCTTTACATACACTTTTATAATTTGGTTATTCAAAGGTTATTGTTAATTTAATTACCTCCTTTCTTCGGTATTTGGGACACTGAAGCAGGCTTTTATTTTAAACAGACTATTGATTAGTGAGACACCGTATACGCGTCCCATCGTTTCTGTCAACTGGAGGCCATATAAAATGAACAGTCGGTATACAATTATACATGAAATTAATATTGATACGCCATACGGAATACGCCCATCAACGGCCGTGGAAAAAGGACTTATAAAATCATTTCGAACATCGCTGTTTAATTAAATATTAATAATAATTACTTAATACTGAATTACTTAATAATTTCTGCTCGTTAATCATGTCCATGTTGGCATAAATAAAGAAACTATACATATAAGTAGTGCACGTTGAGACAATGGCATTGTTACGCTGAGTGGAGTAGCGTAGTCTGCTTGACGCCAAAACGTCGATACAGACTAATTGACTAGTGTACGGAGTTACTGACACTTCCTTCAATAACGTTGCGAGGCCAGCAACAATTTGTACTGTTCCACGATATTCGACCCTTTGTATACCTGTCTCTAGGTATTCTTTACTTTCACGGAATAAATGAACTCATTAGACTTAAGATGACTATTACAACGACAACATAAGTGAAGTAAATATCAGATCTAGGTTGTATTTTTACAAAGGCACGTCATCCTTCACTGGATTTAGCTGTTCCACCCTTTTCTGGTACAAGGCCTTTTGTTTAACCCTGCACTGTGTTGTTTTTCCGTCTGCTGTCTGTTTGTGAGTTTATCGGTTCAGCAGATATAACAATGGATGCATTGGTAGTTATGACAGGCTATGCCATTTCATTTTAGCTAGTGGTGATAGCATTTGGCACCTTAGTGCTACATTTACGTTATTTAATGTCATTATTTGGAATTTTAATCTTAATGTTCCGAAAGACAAGACCCCAGAATACGTAAGTACATTTGAATTAAAGTTGAATTCATTTTGAACACAATTATAATGAAAAGACTTTCGGATAAACAGAAGTGTAGTGAGGCGTAAACATTGAGACTGCGGTGTAATCGACCTGAATGTGCATATCGACCAAGTTTTTAATATGAAAGACTGTAGACTGTATGTATACGCTGGTTCGACCTCAAACTGGATGTCTATTAGGGGCAAGTCAATAACTTTATACAAATTATTTACTTAGGTCAGAACTTTAGAAAATTAATATTATCACGGGATTGAAGACAAAACATAACAGGAACTTGTGATTATTACAGCTGTTATTGTTGTTAACTCCAGCATTAATAAGTTGGGAGTATTGTAGGTAAATAAACTCTTGTTTTTATTATAATTATGGCTTTCTAAAACGTTAACTGCCCACGCAGCGACGGAAAGCAGAAATCACAGTCGCATAGCATCGTTGTAAAACCGTAGAAATTGCAAACAGCGGTATAAATGTAGACAAATATGTGGTGTGTAAATACTTCGTTGGAGCGCTGACTTAGGAATCAACAATTCAGAAATAATAAAGTCAGAATAAAAAAGCACCACCACTGTCATGGTAAAAGGCATAAAGCATAATGGCTATAAAGGTAACGTAATGAACAAGGATGATAGCGTGACGTTGAGTTACAGGACGGGTCGGAAACAAGCCGTGGTGAAAGTTACCGCTAAATGCGAACCTGTTTGTCTTTGTTACCGGTAACTCGCAAACTGAGTTACATCCCCACTAGACCACGGTAGTAGCTTACAAAGGAACTACCGGTACTGCTGAATTCCAAGTATTTGTATATCGGATTCCTGATTGCTAGTTTTATTCCCAGAAAGGTGCTAAATTGATTTCACCTTTGAATCGAGATTAGGAACAGACGTTTGTAAAACAAGTTACATTTTATAATCACATTGAAATTGCTTTTACTCGTACATTATTTAATTTTAAGAACGTGTTAAAGGATCAAAAGACGTTCGTTGATAGAATTTTAACGAAGCAATCATATGAACAATGCGATTATGAATAAAGTACAAATTCGTAAACGATCGATGTTGATACAAGAGTTACGAAACTAATATTGGAGTCACGTGCGTTACCGTAGCAAGGTTTATAGACCGAGGAACATACATGTTTAGTAATACCGAGTTACTGATAATAACAATAATCTGATACATTGCAACACTAGCGCGACGTTCAACGGCTTGCTATAGGCCGGCTCCCTTAAGTTATCGAAAGGGAATCTGTTAATTATCACTAATCGATATAATATCTAATTAACTACCTACGTGTTTCAATGAAAGTAGTACAATTCACACCTGAAAAATGTGATCAATGATAATGGTGTCCTTCGCGAATAGCATGTGTACTGCGCAACCACGTTATTGGCGCAAGAGTTTAGTGCCAAAAACCAGTTTGGATCAAGCCTATCTGCGCAAATTATGTTAAGAAACATCTAGTAGTTTAATCAAGACTTTTTGCGGACACACGCATACATACATTTAAGTGCCACTACAATAATTAACTTTTAAAAATTGTAATTCGTTGAAAAGATAGGAAATGTAGGCCATGTGTTTAGCACACTCCCTTTAGAAGGTCGACTTAATTTTATTGCAGAATTTACAAGATATGTTAATTCCCATCGTATGAAGGTTAGTAGTGATGCGCGTGCGTTGCTAAATATACCGAGAGCTGTAAGGATCCGTCCATGTTATATCAAGTAAGTATTGGAACCAGTCGTACTAGTATCCTTCCTGCAGTTAGTCAAACTAGTTTCGAAGCTGTTTGCGAAAAATATCCTTATAGAGGCAGTTACTACATAGTTTGAGCAATTTATTTTGGCTTAAGACACACTTGAGTAACATTGCCAATTTATCGACACCGACGAAACTAGTACAATTCAAGTATGAAAATGGAATAAATATTACTTTTTTAATTGCTGCAATATGAAAAGATTGATTACTGTTGATGAAGCTAAAGAGGTATGTAAGAATCGTAGCGATTAGCGTTCCATAGTCTTTGCCTATGCCCATGGGAGACCGCTGCGTGAGGTTATGTATACGCAATGTGTTTTATAGACGAGAATATTCTTCAAACGCATAAAACTATTTTTAACGAGATGGAGACACTGAGAACTACACCACAATAATTACATTCGATACACGTGTTAGATGTCGATACAGAATTATAAAAAAAATTAAAACACAAATTAAATAACAGAAATGAAACACACATCACTTCTAAAAAGAACATTATAAAAACTACTCACTTCCTACTCTCAGGCATTCCCATTTTGTCACAATTTTACAAAGCACTAGTCAGGACATGCAAGTACGACACGCTGCGGTCAACTAAGTCAGGATTACGAATGATAAACCTTATATGCACGTATTATCAAGCAATACTATTAATAAGGTTGATAAGTTATCTGATATAGAAATAATGTGAGACGGATGTGTTACGACAGTATTTGTCGATGTAAAGACGAGCTGTGTCTAGCCGTGGACACTTGACCAAAGATCAACAGTTGCTGGCCGGCTGTTTATGTAATCATACTGATTAGCACGTCGACAAGCCTGTATGTACTTACAGTAATGCGTTATTTTTGGATTACGAAAAAATAACTTATAATCTCCTTAGTGAACTTTGGAATTAGAGTCCTTAAGAATTTATTTGTGTTACTGTTACCGAGTTAGATTGTGTTCCAAATTTTCAGTGTCTAGCGCTTCACGACATTGGTCATCTTTACAAGTAAACACATCAGTCAGAGTAAAACACCTTGGCATAACGGACAGGTGGTCGAATTCCCGAAAATATTCTCAAGTCACAACAGTACAAAAGTCACGAATGATTCATAAGATTCAGATTAAACATAATCACTGAAACTGATTTGCATATTTTTCATTACAATAACAATGATTCATTATTATAAAACACGTGATTGTACGCTAATTACTTCCTATATGTATTAGGCCGTAATATTTTGGTCGGTGATTTCATTTCGTCAAGTTCTGTAATGCCCAAATTAACCATAATGTCCCATTTGTGGCTGCACATGCTTTTAGTGGTTCGACTTCTCGATCGTGTATCATGTATCGAATGCACTCCACCTGTATTATGATTAACTTTGTGTAATGGATGTAGCATTTAATAATAGTGTATATTTTTAAACGTAACATAAAATTTAAAACGATATTATCACAGTAGTATTTTTAGATCTTTGATAAGCTTTGGATATCTTTGAAACCCTGATGAACGCTGTCTCAACGAGTGGGATATTACTTTGCTACACTTACATGATAAATCTATACGACAAGCGGAGCCATCAATAAAAGCTAGCTACATAATACTAGAGCGAAATTATTTCCGTCCCTATCAGTAAATATCAAGTTAGTTGAAATGTTTGCGTGAAGTATTATTGGTTTCGTAAGTAGGATCCGGGCAATCCGTTACACTTGGGGTCACAAGGGACCGAGTGGGAGATAGACCACGACCATGGCGGTCAATCTAGATCTACAAACAGATTTCACATGCTACAGACAATTGTTGTGAGTTCGTAGAACAAGTCCAGTGCGTGATGAGGTAGATGCACTAGGAAGTGCAGACACGTGCATGCAAAGGTCACGTGAAGCGATACAAACAAACTACTAGACTACAGCATTAACAGTTTATTTTGAAATGGACAACACAGGAACTTATTTTCCTAATGCCCTCGGGAAATGAGTTAGAGTAACAATGATATTTCTAGACTTCTAGTTAAAATGTTATTGGCTGAAGAGGCGGGACTGTAGGACAAAGTATCAAAGGAAATGTTTACAAAGAGATATTAGCAATTTCCTCCGGTATAAGGGACCATCCGGCCGATATGATGAACAAAGAGAAAGTAATAACCCGCTATCGAATACTTAACGAAATATGTTTTGCGTGAATTTTAAGTGAAGCATGTAAATTATTTCTGTTAGGAACACGGTATCGATTTTCTCTTGTATTGCAGTTTACGAATTGGCTTCATTAGATAAATAGGTAGACCTTTCTAATGACGTTTGTTAAAGTCCTTAGTAGACAAGATTGACAAGAATAGTTTTGATATTTGATAAATCGACTGAGCTAACAAATAACAATACAGCACTTAAGTTGCGTGATAATATTTCAGCGACCGATTTCTACTGCAGAGTACTGCAGCTCTGCCGAGGCCAGCACAAACATATCTTGTCATAAGCATCTTGGCTATCAGGGATTATCTCTGGTCAATGACCCGGTCACCGGCACAATTATCAGTACACACATCCACTGTGCTTTAGACAATAGACACATTTGTTATCAAACAATAAAATGGTCCGTGGAAAGTGGACTTCGTATCATCCGAGGTCATTATATCAAAAAGAAAGTATTTCAATGTCAAATGAGACGTAACACTTGTTTGAATAACAGACAGAAATACATGGTGGGTGCATAAAAACCTTCACAACGAAAATAAAAGTGGGATCCAGTGAAACGTCTAGCTGTGTTCTGGCAGCCAGCCAGCACTGTTAATATCTAAGAAATTGTAAATCCCAGTGCAAGTTGCAAGATTACCATGTAGATGTAAAAGAATAAGGGTTCGTTATCTTATTTATGGATCCAGTTGGAGAAATTGAAAGTGTCCCCTTGATTTGAGACTTCTGTAATGACTGGATTAATTATCTCTATTGGTTTAATATAATATCTTGCAGCAGTTAAATTATCAAACGAACCATTAGCTACTTGAATGTAACATTTTGCCCTTGAGTATAGAAAACTATGAATGGAAATTGTTTTCTAGGAACATGAGATAAATATTTGAAAAGGATAATTAGATAGCAGCATTCGGCTCTCCCTTAGCAAATACTACTTAATGTGATGGACAATTTATATGATCAAGTGTAATAATGATTCCTGGATTATCACGTCTATATAATATCCAAACGTTCGGCCATTGCGACCCAAACCGTAAATTAGTGGGACCATTTCCACCAGGGAGCGCTCACGCCCAGATATGATGTCGTAAATTGTCAACATAATGTCGATGCCATTACGCTACCATCCAGGTTTGAACACCTATTTTCTTTCTATTTCGTGTAAAAATCCATGGATTTTTCTTAAATCAAGAAGTTGTTGTGAATCAAATTAGTTCCCATGGATTTTTATTTCCGTCGCCAGGAAAACTGCGGCGCGGATGTTGTCAATTGCTGCGGCAATTACGTTACGTTCGTCTAGCCTAGTTTTTTTGTTTCACGGTTCCCCATTTTAATTTTGCATATTCAAACCTTTTTATTTTGTTTAGTTATTCAAAAACCGAGCCTTCTCTTTTTATTCGTTTACGTTTACTCGGGAAGATATTAAAAAGACGATATGAATCAATTGGGAAATATTTCAGTGACACATTTATACAAACGATGTTGTTCTAAAGGTGCAAACTACGAGTAAATACATGTTCGTGACAGACATAAAGATTATCTAACGACTACTGTTTCTGTACTCATTAAGCAATAAAATATAATTGATAAGCCGACCTTCACACAGCACGTTGAATCGTACAGTAATCGCGTGAAAATTAATACAATCAAGACTTAAGTTTATTAGCTATTAAACGTGATTAAACAAGGCGATGCTACGACACTGCTATAGCCAGTATATTGGATAGTATCCATTCAAATATAAAACTAAGTTGAATAAACTTACGTTTCATTCTCGTCTATAAACATTTCTGTGTGTTTCAACCTGTAACAAGAAAACAAAATATTAGTAAATCAACCAATAGATACAACATCACAAACAGACAACCATTCAGTTTGTGTAGAGAATACAGTGACAATGATTGCAATTTGCAGCTCTTATGGAGAACCCGATCGATAGTGATACGCATTGATACTTAGTATTCATAACAACCCTGTTGGTCTTACAGTTATAGATTTTTCTGATGTAAGAGTTTTTATTTCTAGAAGTATGGATTGGATAATAACCACTGACAGTTTTTGGGAGGATTCATATTGGTTCGAAATAATGAAACGAAAGTGGAGAAATTGTAAGCTAATACCGATTATTACCGATGTTGTTTTCGACGATGGCGTATTTTGCTCTATCCGAACATTCAGGACAGAGAGCGGTCTCCAACAGTAAAACAAAATTGTCATTGTTTCACAATAAAAACACATAACCAGTAAAAATGATGAGTCATCGATTGTGGAGTAATTAACGATTTCTAATTAATTACTTTCCTGTCTATGCTAGGAGATATGATTCAATTACAAGAATTGTTGTGAGAGATTAAATTTTTTTGCTAGAACAATCTGATAAGAATTATTAACATGTAACATTGTGGAAATTTGCGTGATTTTGATAGTCATCGATGTTTAGCAATTCAAGGTCACGAAGGGCGCAGTTAATGTAATTTGACTTACATTCGAAATATGTAATTCGGTAAACCGTTATGGAATCATTTCTGATAAGACCGTATGTAGATTAAGTCAATTAAGTATTAATTGCTAAATCAATTTATTCTAACCTAATAAATCTATTGTAAAATAGCACAAGCAGCGTATTACTAAAGCACCGCAACGATTAAGTAACGAAGCAAAAAATTAGTCTAAAACTCTAGAACCTTAAAATAGAAATTCAATTATGAATCGAAATCCACAACAAACAAGGTGCATTTTAGTGTAAACAATGGTTGTACGTCAGCGACGAGCCCCCGCGAGTTTTACCATGGTCAAACAAACACTATGCAGGTCAAGCATCGAACCAATGATATCAGCGATTTGTTCCCAGACGCACCGTCACACAAATTCAGTTCTTGATCAACAGTTTTCCATAATGAACAATTAGACTAACTTTAAATGATGCATCAGACAAAAATAATGTAACACCACAGAAATAACTTCGCACTTAAATGTTATTCGCTACGTTTGACGTTGTTAAAATTATTGTTGTTAAGAATGTTGACTGATCTGCATCACAAATTCAGATGAATCGATTTCTTCTAATGATGATAATTTCGTAACAATCATGTTTTATGATTCAGTACAAACCAGAGCATGAGAAACAAATTTGAAGCATTCAAATGCAAGTGTCAAGTGTCCATAAGACAATGAATGAAAACATGAACTTGACCGCGTTGTTGATCAATAACACTGTGGGAATGGAAGATCCTCTCTTGTGATATCTGAACGATAGAGTAAAGTCCAATACATAAATGATAATACCAACAGAGCAGTTAGAAACAGAGAAAGTAAATTAATTAGCGCAAGAACACTTCGCAACAGTGGATAAGAAAGAGAGCTTAACTCTTATCGGACACAGTTCCTTTACCAAGCCAAGACTGAAGAACTAAGCAAATACTTTAATCGAGTGC